TTCTAATCGATATGAAATTTGAAAAAATTGAGAAAAGGAATCGATTTTAAATTTAATAAAGTTGATAAAATATATAACATCTAATAAAGTTGATATATATAACATGTGCTTTGACATGTTAATTTTTTATTAAAATCTTATTTTATTCAAATCATAACAAATCTATCGTAACATAATAGTAGCAAAATAATCTTGGCAAAAATAATATAATAGATAATAGATAATAATAGAATAGATAGCTAAGTGGATTATGAGTTAGATAAAATATTTTACTTTTATATTATATTTTAGTTTAATAAACTATGTTTAAAATGCTTTAAATATATCCTACTATAAATTTTTTATTGAAGAGTTTTACACAGAATTTCATAAAAATATGGGAATCTATTAACTGGAGATTTTTTAAATAATTTTAAAAAATATTTTTTTTTCCAAAAATTTTATATGTGAACGAATTATTAACAAAAAAACACTAGTCAATCATGGAATGTGTTGCCTAGTTGAATAGTGTTGGCTATGTGCTATCAATTGAGTACGAAGAAATTCAAATCTTATATATCAAAGAAAGAATTTTGGATATATTGAACATAATAAATATTTTTTTATTAATAAAAAATTATATCAAATTATTTCATATATATCATATAATATATCATATAATATATATGAAATAAACTAAATGAATAAATAAATTATAATATTCAACACACTTTCGAAAGTTTTTGAAAGTATTGTTTGAAATTATTTTATAATTTCCAATTTACAAATATTCCAACATTTTTTGGATATCTTATTATAATGATAATAATCATTTTTCATTTTCAGTGAGTTTTGTCTCATTTCATCTAATAGAAACATTAGAAATTATTCGTAATTATAGCAATGTATAATTAACTGTTACATTTTTTGTTTAATAATTAAAGACATCAAAAATTAAAATGTGTTCCTAGTGGCGTACATTTATTTTTACAGAAAATAGTTATAAAACGATGAAAAATGCAATGAAACTCAACATAACAGTGGATAAATAATAATTCTTGTATTGAATATATATACAAAAGAAAAACTGAATATGAAGAAAAATTTTTTTATTTTCTATATTTTTTAAAAAAGTTTATGATATATTCGTCAAACATCATAGAATAGGAAATATACGAAAAATAATATTATGATTGTTACGTGATGCTACACCTCTTAGATGAATGATGGAGATCTATTAAAAAAATTTATTGCAAAATTAATCTCGATCTTAATATTTCGAAGTAAAAATCAAAATCAAATTTTTTTATTATGTATAATAATCTTTTTATTGCATATAATAACATAAGAAACAAAAATCTTAAAGGAACCGTTCTCTTGAATAATGATTTAACATTATTATATTATATATAATCGTTTTGATAATATTTTGTGTTATAATGAAATATTGGATAAATAATTATCATATTTCCAACAAAAAGTTCATATGAATTTTCATATTTCAGCGAATCTTTACAACAGATTGTAGAAACAATCTATTATTGCTTCTTAAAGAAAATCTAATACTTTCGCATCTGGAAGACATAAATGCATTTGGTATTTTTCAAAATTTGGTGAATTAATTGAATGAGATATTATTTGTGTCATCATAAGTTATCGAAATTCACTTAAATAAAAAAAATGAAATCAATAATATAAATCTAAATAATTCTTGATATTGAAAATGAAATGTTAAATTCAAATCTTAATATTCTTTTCATTTTACAAATACTATATTGTTTTAAAAAGTATAGTTTGCATTTTATTTTTCATAATCCATCAGCAGAAATTTTATCAAACTGTATGATTGTATAATTGGATATGAATATGAACAATTTATTCTTATGATTAATTCTTATTTGAGTTACTATCCATTAATGAATAGACAGCAATAAGAGCAATGATAACCTTTTATTATAAAATCCAGCTAATCTTTAATGTATTAGGATGAAATAAATAATTTATAAACAGTAAATTATTAATATATGTTGAAAATCAAATTGATATTTTTTCGAATACAATTGTTTTCTTTATTCATTTTTTTTTGCATTTCATTGCATTAGCTAGTGTAATTTTAACTTAACTAAATTTTAATCAATTATTTCTCTATAAATATAAATATATTAAACAAAATTATTTATAAAAATTCAAAATCATTTTTCAAGAAAAATTTATTTGTGATATGTATATTATTTGATATTTTTGTTCCTGTGGCAAATATTCAAGGTAAAAAAATTTAACGCTGAATTTCAAGATCAAATTTTTGCGGAAAATTTTTTTAACAAATCTCTTTTTTCAAAATGTAAAATCAGATTTTTTCAAAATGTCAATCATTCAGAGATGTAAAATCACGCTATAATAGTTATTAGTCTTTTTTTTTTTATGTACTCTATATTTAAGCATTTATGTTCATATCACCGAATACGTTAACTATCTTGCATAAGTGCAAAAACATATAAACATATAAAATTTTTATGTTTATTACGAAAGTGTTGAAAAACTGCAATTTTTCGCCATTTTTAATTATTTTAATTCATAGCAAAATTAATTAATTTCGATAAAATTTCCAATATATATATTTATATATCATATGTAATCTATAAAATATAACTTTCTATTTTTCATTACAAGTTCAGATAAAAAAGTTATTAAAAATTAGCTTTACTATTTTCTTCGTGATTCTAATTGTAATTTTAAAAATTTTTTTATATGTTATATAGTAAACTAACTTCTGCAAAAAATTCAATTCGTTTGATCAATTTTAAAGAAATTACCATCTCAAAATAGCACATTCTATGATTCTGTAACAATTATTAACAAAAAAAATACAGTTGGAAATACAAAGCTGGGTAAAATACTATTTTAAATAATTTTATTTATTTTAAAGTATAATTTCGAAAATAAAATATTTTATATTTTATTTGATACAATAAGTTTCGTAAAATAGTATTTGAAAGTATTATTTTATTCGAAGAATATTGAAAATATTTTATCTTATAATATTTTATTTATTTCAATTCATTTCCTTTATTTTAAATATTAATGTTATTAGAAAATATATTATAGAATATATAGATATATTAGAGAATAATTCGCGTTCATTATATTTGATGATTAATTTGATTATGAATAAGTAATTATAGTAAATAATTTCTTAATATTCTTTTATATATTGTATATCGAAATCGTAATAAAATTGGTAAAATAGTTTTTTTTATATGCAAAAATATTTTTTATTTACCATTATTTGCAATTTGTTTCCATTAATTTTTTTAGAAATATTTAGAAACTGTTTTTAGATTTTATGTCTGAAAATAAATCGAAAAAACTGTATTTTGAAATCTTATATCTTATATCTTATATTTTAATATTAAAGTTATTAAAATTAAATATTATTTTATTTTATATCAGATTATTAAAATAAAATATTTTTCAAATTGTCAAAAAAATTGTTAAAGAAATATTTTATTTATTTTATGGTTTGATTAAAATGAAAAATTTTTTATTAAATTTTATTTTCAGAAACTATTCTGACTATATAATTAATAACTATATAATTTTAATAACATTCTATTTAAAACACTATTTTATTTAAATTAAATAATAAGTTATTAAATATGTTATGAAGTTATTAAATATGTTATTTATATCTGCTGGTTCAATTCTATAGATTATAAAAGTTTACGGAAAATTTAAATATACAAAAATATATAAAATATAATAACAATGCAAACATAATAGCAAAATCCAAATAAAAATGCAAATATCTATAGCAAATACTTAAATATATATAATTATAATATTTAAAATATGAAAATAATTTTTTATAACAGTTTCAGCCTCTGTTGCTATGTTTATAAAAAATTTTCATAAATATTTATAATTTAATTATAATTTAGTAAAATTTCAACTGACATTTTTGCATGAGTTTTATGTTTGTTTTAATATTTAAAATCTAAAATCTAAATTTAATAATATTTAAAGACTTTTTAACATTTATATTCAAATTAAAATAACAATTTATATTCAAATTAAAATAACAATATTTCCTCAATTTATTCCATTTTTTTTTATTTTTTAATATTATATCTGTTACATATACATATGTAATTTAAATATAATTAAATTATAACATGCAATCTAATCGGAAGCAATGAGATAGAATATCTTATAAATGGATTTGAACTTTGACTAATAAAATTCTCTATGTTTCAGAAAATAAGAAAAAAATACTTCCAAATACTTGAATACTTGATTCTTAATACTTAATTTAAATATAATAAATTTGAACATTTTATGAATTTAGAAACTAAAATAATATTTCTAAGTAAACTCGAATATTAATCGAATAAATTAAAAAATATAACAAATATTTTATTAAAAAATAATAATTATTATGTAGATTGTTAAATTCATTTCAGTAAATTCTTATGTTATAAATAAAAAAAATGTCGAGTTTTATTTAAAAAAAATTGATTTGTTTTATTTTCGATTATTCTATTATATAATAAAAATAAATAAATTTTTATACCATATAATTCATCCTTTTTTTTGTCTCTACATTTTTTTTATATTTTTTTTTTTGTAAAATATTCCATTTTTCCACTTAAAAAAAATATATTATATATATAAATTGTATAATAAGATAAAATATATATATAAGAAATGTTCGTATACAATGTTTAGAATTAATTTAAATTTATAAAATTTAATTTAAAAAATTTTTTACCAAAAAATTGTCAAATTATTATTTATTGTATTATTTATTATACTATATTATCATATTATTTATTATATTATATTATTGTATTATATTATTATTTTTTTATATAATATTATTTTATAATATTATTTTAAAAATATTAAAATCTTTCTATTTCATTTAAAATTTAAAAAAATCATAATTATAAATGAATGTATTTTTTTTTTTTTCATCAATACACATATGTATTTTACATATGTATTTTTTTAATCAAAAATAGATAAACCAAACACGGATAGGAATATCTTCTTCCACGAGACATCCTGTTTTGATGAAAACGGTTTGATGTTAAACGCTCGCCAAGCATGTGCTGTCGAATCCGCCGCAAAAATGAATCCAAATATGAACGTGTATCTATTATTTGTTTCTCCTTCGAAGATTTCCATAGAGTCCAAAGAAATGTTTGAACAGCTACAAACTTATCCAAACATTCATATCAGATATATCAAACCCGAAAATTATATGAAAGATACACCTTTAGATATATGGTACAAAAGTGATATATTGAAAAGAAGTCGATGGCCAAGAAATCATATGTCTGATATTCTAAGATATCTGACACTTTGGAAATACGGAGGAATATATTTGGACCTGGATGTGGTTGTCATCACGTAAGTGCATTTTAATTGGAATTTATAATTATTTATAATTATATTATATAATTATTTGAAAAAAATATACAAAATTTATATAATTTTAGAAATTAAAATAAACATAAAAGTTGATTTACAAAAATTTCGATGAAACTATTTATTAAATTATGAGCAAATTTGCATTAAATAAAACAAGATGGAAACAAACTGATATGACGGTATGACAGAGATAAACCTACATCTCCGCATTTTTTTATTTAATGCAAACTTTAATTATTTACATTTTATTAAATAAGTCTCGATCGATTTTTACATCAATTTTCTTTTGTCCTCTAGAATCAATATTTTAATGTTAGAATTTTTCTAATTACATTAATATGTGATTAGAAATCTTATGAAAAATAGATAATTTATAAGAGATTCTTATAGGGAGATTCTTATATGAATTATATTAATTTTTATATGAAAATATAAGAAAATTTATAAATTTATAAATTTGTTTTACAAGGTTCTATATTTTATTTTTTAATTAC